AAAAGACTCCTATTAACTCTATTTCCACATATAATATTATGCATTTTGTCAATTTTTACTCCATCGGTAAATACAGATGGCAGAGTACCTGTCAATTTGACATTGAAACATGCTAAGTTACTGTTAATATTAACAGAGGGGAAAGGACATGAAAATTGTTAAATTTAGTTACTCAAAGACTGTCACAATCATCTGAGAAGATTTAATTACAGCTTTTAAACCTCCCTGTATTTGAACTGCAGTGTAATTCAATACATTACTAGTTATTTTACAGAAGAATACATTTTGTAGAATTAAATGGAAACCAGTGTAAGAATTAATCAATGAAAAATACAGCAGAAAAGTTTTTGTACCATACATAAGCTAGGATAGTGATGAGGAATCACCAGTCTGCATGCTAGTTGTAATAGGCAGTACCCTTCTATATCTTTCCTTAAAAATTTTTTTTTAAGTTTTTAACATAATGAAGATCCCTCATCTTGTTTTCAAATATACTGCATATTTAGACTTGCTTATAAATATATGCAGTATTCTTTATCTTTATTCTAAATTTAATTCTGTCAATCAGTCATTTGTAGAACACTGTTTGGGTATTCTTAATGAAAACTGAAAACCAAAAATGTTATCAAATAATTTATTTTGCTCAATCTACACTGCTGCAGAAATACTTATAAAACTTTTACACAGTGCCAACATGTTACAAAATCTGATACTATTGGCATCTGCTTATAAATGGAGAACTTGTATTCTCCTTGGCAACTTTGGTGACACTTCATAATGATTCAGACTTCAACCCAAATAGTTGTTTAATCCTATAATCCCTTTGGCATAGCCTAGCTTTTCGGTGCCACAAGTTAAAATTTCAGCCTTTACAGCCATCTGAGAAAATACTTTTTTATATTTTTTAAATTATTAATCAGTTTGACAGATTGTTCCGCTATTTATTCAAATATAAATTATCTCTTCACTCAAAACAACTGAAAGCAATGATCAAACTCATAAAACAATTTAAAATTAACCAGAACAAATAAACTTTAAAGCAACCAGGACAAAGCCATTTAAAATCCATCAAAACCCAACATATGTAAAACAGATTTTATTGCCAATCTAAAAAAAATAGCAAAGATGAGTTAAATCTTATTTCTTCAGAAAGGGGATTCCAAAGCCAAGATGCTAGCATAAATAAAATGCTATGTATCTCCATCAATTTAACCTTTTAGCATTCAAGCCTTCTAAAGCAGATTCAAAGTGATAGCAAGTTTCACATATCTTCACCTTTAACCAGATAGCTTATTTAAACACATATGAACTTGGCCTCACAGCAAACTCAAAGCCATTTTTTTTATTCAAGTGTAGTTCACAAAGCTATAAAATTCACAAAATCTGCCTGCATCAAAACCCAATCCAACTACCACATTTAGCACTACCGTGTTTCCCTGAAAATAAGACTGGATCTGCCCACTCCCCCCCACCATCTGCTTGCCTGCACCCACAACGGCTTACAGGGCTTCCCAGGGTAGACATACTTTTTGCCTGGATGGCAAAATGACGGAGACTAGAAGTTTTGTCTACTTGCAGATGGATCACTTTGAAACGGAGCAATTAGCTCCTTTTCAAAGTGCCCCATTTGCAAGCGGATGAAGCTTCATCTCCCTCTGGGTGAAAAGTGTTTGGGTGCCTACGGGGGCACCCCATAGGTGACCAAACACTTTTTGCCTGGACGGAGAAATGATGGAGACTGGAAGCTTCGCCTGCTTGCAAATGAGATGCTTTGAAATGAAGCGATTAGCTCCATTTCAAAGCGCCCCATTTGCAAGCAAGCAAAGTGTCCAATCTCCCTCCCAGGGAGAAGCAGAGGCACGGGGTGGGGAGTCAGGTGATCCCAATGCACTGCCCACTCTGCCCCCCAGCTTGCCTACAGCTGTGCCAGGGCAGGCGCACACGTTGTGCATCCGGATTGCCTACCTCTAACCATGCCTCTGCCTCCACCTGCTGTCGGTGCCTCCGCACAAGCCTCCCATGAGCCAGGCAGCCACGCAGCAGGTCCAGATTGCCTGTCTCTGTTCCTCACCTCTGCCTCCCTGCTCTGAGTTATTTGCGCAGGACTGCCGGGCTGCAGCTGTTGTCAGATACCATCAGTCTCTACGCACTCTCCACCTCTTCTGCTGGCCGCACCCATTTCCTCAGGCTTATTTTTGGGGTAGGGCTTATATTAGGCCCACCCCAAAAAATCAGGGTATGACTTATTTTTGGGATGGGTCTTATTTTTGGGAAACAGAATAGCAACACTTTCCAAATATACTCCAAGAGATAGATACTCCAAGAAATATACTCCAGATAAAGATTGAATGCACCAATTATCACATTAAAGAAGAGGAAAACCTACGCACCAATTCCACCCGCGTTTTCTACAATTTTGTAAACAACAAACTAAAAGGCTCAAGGTCCATCCCACCCCTGAAAGGACCTAATGGTAAAGACTGAAACGACCACACTATTAAAGCCAACCTCTTTAACACATTCTTTGGCTCAGTATTTGTAAACAGCCCAGTATTTGATAATGCCCAGTATTTCCTAGTCGAACCACAGACAACTACAATGATCTAATACATATTGATTTTACAGAAGACAATGTTGAAAAAGCACTACACAATCTAAAACCATCTCTATCTATTGGACCGGATGGAATATGTGCCTACTTCTTAAAAAAGCTATCCACTGCCATAGCCGAACCTGTAAGCATAATCTTTGAAAAATCTTTCAGGACCAGCTCCTTGCCAAAACTATGGTCACAAGCCACGGTCATCCCCATCTTCAAAAAGGGAGACCCCAGCCTAGTTGAAAATTACAGACCAATCTCTTTATGCTGCGTCACCTGTAAAGTCATGGAATCAATTATTAACCAATCCATTATCCTCCACTTAGAGACAAACAACCTACTCTCTAATAAACAATTTGGTTTCAGAAAAAAACTATCCTGTAATCTGCAACTCTTACACTGCAAAAACATATGGACTACACAACTCGATCAGGGCAAAGCAATAGACGCAATCTACATAGACTTCTGTAAAGCCTTTGATTCAGTGGTACACGACAAACTACTCCTAAAACTAAAATTTTATGGTATCTCTGGACACCTGCATTACTGGATAGAAGCATTCCTGTCAAACAGACAACAAATGATCAAAATTGGGAGCGTCCTATCAAATTCTGTACCTGTCAACAGTGGTGTCCCCCAAGGCAGTGTTCTAGGACCAATTCTCTTCATACTCTACATAAATGACCTCTGTGATCATATTAAGAGCAACTGCGTTCTCTTCGCTGATGATGTAAAGCTATTCAACACCACAGACAATACTGCTACCCTTCAAAAAGACCTCAACTATGTATCAGAATGGTCAAACAAATGGCAACTTCAAATTTCAACAAATAAATACTCTCGTACATATTGGCAAAAAAAATCAGAAAATAAAATACAAGCTAAGTAGTCAAGACCTTGTTGAAGATCCAAACTTTGTCAAGGACCTTGGAGTACTCATCTCAAATGATTTAAGTGCTAGAGCCCACTGTAACTACATAGCCAAAAAGGCATTAAGAGTTGTTAACCTAATCCTACGTAGCTTTTTCTCTGGTAATATCACACTACTAACTAGAGCATACAAAACATTTGCTAGACCAATACTTGAATACAGCTCATCAGTCTGGAACCCGCATTACATATCTGATATTAATACAGTTGAGAAAGTCCAGAAATATTTCACAAGGAGAGTTCTCCACTCCTCTCTACTCGTTGCAGAATACCTTATGCCACCAGACCTAAAATTTTAGACCTAGAAAACCTAGAACTACGTCACCTTCTGTCTGATCTAAGTATAGTACATAAAATTATATATTGCAATGTCCTACCTGTCAGCTTCAACCATAACAATACAAGAGCACACAACAGATACAAGTTCAAGGTAAACCTCACCAAACTTGAATGCAGGAAATACGCCTTCAGTAACAGAGTGGTCAATGTCTGGAATACTCTACCTGACTGTGGTTTCTTCCCCAAACCCCAAAAACTTTAACCTTAGACTGTCTACTATTGACCGCACCCCTTTCCTAAGAGGTCTGTAGGGCGTGTGCATAAGTGCACCAATGTCCCTACCATCCCTGTCCTATTGTTTCTTATAAATGATTATAGAAAATCAACTCATTTTCTGCTGTGTTAATATAAATTTTATAATAAAAGGACATTTTAATATCTTTTATAGGTCGTCATCGACTTACGACCACAATTGAGCCCAAAATGTCTGTTGCTAAGTGAGACATTTGTTAAGTGAATTTGCCCCCATTTTACAACCTTTCTTGTCACAGCTGTGAAGTGAATCACTGCAGTTGTTAAATTAGTGACTCAATTGTTAAGCAAATCTGGCTTTGCTTTGTCAGAAGGTTACAAAGGGTGATCACAAGGCCCCGGGACATTGCAACTGTCATAAATATGAGTCAGCTGCCAAGCATCTGAATTTTGATCACATGACCATGGAGACACTGCAACAGTTGTAAGTGTGAAAAACCATCATCAGTCACTTCTTTCAGTGCCGTTGTAACTTTTAACATCACTAAATGAACTGTTCTAAGTCGAGGACTACCTGTATTAAGCCAATTAATCCAATATTCTTGTGGGTTAACTAATACTTAATCATATTATCTTGCATAAAGTCTTAATTTTTATTTATTTCAATCCTGCCTTTATTATTTTTACTGCTACTCAAAATCACCCAGCTGGCTTTCATGGCTAAGGTGGAACTTAAAACTTACAATCTCCTGCTTTCTAGTCTGGTGCCTTAACCAAACTGGTTCTTAATATTATTTCTATTCCATTCTGTGCCTTTCTATAGATTCTACAGTTCTACCTTAATTTCTGCTGGTCAATCACATAGTAAAATACATCATTGATGATACAATAATATAAAAAGAGAGAAAGTAATGTAGAATTTTCAATATAAATAACCTACCAAATATGTTTGTGGAATGTCCTTTCCTAGCAATAGGCTTCAGTTCATTATGCCCCCATCCATACTGCCGATAATTATCCCAGGCATGTTTCATCATCTACAAAAAAGAAAGAAAATATAAATGTTAGCATGTAGCATGTCACTATGGCCTATTGATGTTTCAACAAAAAATATTTTTACACATCCATCTTATATGCATAGATTTTCTATTAATCCTTGAAATAGGGCGTTGGTACTTACCTGATACGCCCGTTCTCTGTGAGCTGTGAAAAGCATCCAGAAGTGGGAGGTGCTTCAGTCTCTTCTGAAAAGGCCGGGCTTAAAACTCCGGGACGCTCCTCCTCCTCCACGGGACACCTCCTCAGCGTCCCCCAGTTTTGCGAAGACTGAGTGCCAAAGTCCGGGACTCATCACCTAATCTAGATCCCTGACTGGAACGGAACCCCACCAGACGGAAGGAAATGGGTGGGGCTGGATGCTCTTCACAGCTCACAGAGAACGGGCGTATCAGGTAAGTACCAACGCCCTTTCTCCCATGAGCTGTTCAGAGCATCCAGAAGTGAGACATACCAAAGCTTGGCCTGTCCTTAGGGAGGGACTCCATCTGGATCGAAATCCACTCCTAAACTCTATGGACCCTCTGCAGGACTCTTCTGCCAAATGAAGTGTCTGCTGAGGCATAGACATCAATTTTATAATTTCTGACAAAGGGCGATGGTGAAGCCCAAGTTGCCGCTCTGCAAATTTCGTCTATGGGAGCCCGTGTGGCCCATGTTGCTGATGTTGCCGCACTCCTTGTTGAGTGGGATGTAATGCCTTGAGGAACTGAGATGGACTAGCATTCGTAACTTTTAGCTATGGTGACTCTCAACCATCTACCGATGGTCGACGACACCTTTTGCCCTAAAGTGGATGGATTGGAGGATAGGAATAGAGCCTCAGATTTTCGAAATGCCACCGTGCGGTCTAGATAGATGCTTAAGGCCCTTCGAACGTCAAGTCGATGCCATTGATGCTCCAGTCTATGAGATGGTTTCGGACAAAAATTTGGAAGGACCAACTCCTGCACTCTGTGGAAGGCTGAATTTACTTTAGGAGTGAACGATGGATCCAATCGGAGAATCACCCTGTCCGCATGAAACACGCACAGGTCCTTTCTCATTGACAATGCCGCCAATTTGGAAATTCTCCTAGCTGATGTGATTGCAATTAGGAAGGCCACCTTATATGTCAGGAATTTAAGACTAGTGGTTCTTAAAGGCTCGAATGGGCCAGTTGTAAGTGCGGTTAATACCTTGTTGAGGTCCCAGGTGGGATAGCGGTGAATTACAGGATGTCGTAAGTTTGCAGCACCCTTAAAGGAAGCTGCGGACATGTGGATGGTGCGCTATGGAACGGAGGTCACCCCAGGCTATCACCGAGGCTAAAGCCGCCACCTGTCTGCGTAAAGTATTTGGAGATAGGCCCTTGGCCAACCCCTCCTGTAAAAAGTCCAATAATTGTCCTATTGATGGGGCAGTTGAGTCGATCTTAGACCCCTGGCACCAGCAACAGAAGGCGGACCACGTGGTGTCGTATATACAATTTGTTGAGAACCGTCTGGATGCTTGAATGGTGGCAATAGCATCCTCTGAAATCTGTTGGGCCCTTAAATGGCTCCGCTCAACCTTCATATGGCTAGACTGAGCCATTGTGGGTCCGGGTGAAGTACCAGCCCTTGGGAGAGGGAAACCTTCGATGGTGGAATTTTCCAAGGCTGTTCCCTCGACAAGTCCTGTAAATCTGCAAACCACGTTCGCCTGGGCCAGTAAGGGGCGACCAATATCAATTGCGCTCATTCCTCCAATAACTTCTGGATCAACCTGGGTATTACCGGGAGTGGAGGAAACACATATAGAAATCCGGGAGGCCACTGACATCGTAGGGCATTGACGGCCTCCGCCCCTTGAGTCAGGTACCTTGAAATATACCGAGGCAATTGGGTGTTGAGAGGAGAAGCAAATATATCGATCATCAGTTGCCCAAACCTCTGCACTGCTTCCTGGAAGACAGACGGGTGTAGGCACCACTCTGCTTGATCTATCGTGGCCCTGCTGAGCCAGTCCGCTTGTGTGTTTAAGGCCCCTGCTATGTGTTCTGCCTTGAGCAAAGACAGATTGGCCTCGGCCCACCTGAACAACTTGGCCATCTCCAGCATCAGAAGTTTGGAATGGGTACCCCCTTGTCTGTTTACGTGGGCCTTGGTTGTGATATTGTCTGTCAAGACCAGAATGTGGCGTGATTAGAAAAGGGGTAGGAAACTGCGTAAGGCCAGGTGAACTGCTCGCAGCTCCAACAGGTTGATGCTTTGTGATTGTTCGGAGATAGTCCAAATTCCCTGCGCAGTGTGGGATTAGAAGTGAGCTCCCCATCCTACCAGGCTGGCATCGGTTGTGATCGTTGCCCTGTAAGGTTCCTTGAAAGGACACCCCTTGTTTATTGTTTTGTCCGACCACCAGTGGAGCGATCGGAGAACATTGTGCGATACCTTTATCCGGACGTTAGAAGTGGCTTTTCCAGATCGCTGGAAAGGTAGTAGGAACCATTGCAGCTCTCTAGAATGGAATCGAGCCCAAGACACAATGGAAATACAAGAAATCAGTTTCCCTAACAGTTGAGACAGCACTGCCAGGGAAACCCTCTTTAAGGCTCTGATCTCTCTGGCCAAAGACGAAATACTGTTTAACCTGTCCTGAGAGAGAAAGACCTTGCCCTCCACGGTATCTATCACTGCCCCTAAATGAACTAACCTAGTTGAGGGGATCAAATGGCTTTTATCCCAATTTATGGAAAAGCCATGACCCTGAAGGGTCTCCAGAGTAATCTTGGTATCCAATTTTGCTTGGTGTCTGGAAGAGGACAAAATTAAAATATCATCCAGATAACATTGTAAGCGAATAGATTTGATCCTGAGTGAGGCAGCCAAAGCCGCGAGGACTTTGGTAAAAGTCCTGGGGGCCAAAGCCAGACCGAATGGTAAGGCGATATATTCATAGTGCCGATCACAATAGCAAAATCTAAGATATTTGTAGTGAGCAGGTCTAATTGGTATATGTAGATAGGCCTCTGTGAGATCTATAGAGGTCAGGACATCGTTCTCTCTAATGCTGAGCAGAATGGACTGGAGAGTAGTCATCTTGAATTTTCGATAAACCAATGATCTGTTCAGACGTTTGAGGTCCAGAATTGCCCTCCAGCCCCCGGAACTCTTTGGGACCACAAACAATAGAGAGTAACAGCCTTGACCCCGCTGTTCAGATGGGACCTCTCTAATGGCCCGAATATGCAGAAGATGATTGATAGCCTCCTGCATCAACGACCTCTTAATGGGGTCCGTGGACCTAGGGCTCCTAATTAAAAAGTTCGGGGGGGAGGATTGAAACTTTAGCACCAAACCAAACCTAATAGTGTCCCTGACCCACGCATCAGAGGTGGAGCTGTCCCATTGATCAGCAAACAATTTTAGGCGCCCTCCAATGGGAGCTGCTGTCAAGGACTCACTTGGGGCGACAAAAAAATCAGCCTCCAGTGCCTCTGGGGTTTCATCTGTTTTGGCCTCCCCGTTGACCTCTATCGGAAAATTCAGACCTATCCTGTCTAAAACTGGGCCTGTAGCCTGACGTTCTCTGAGATCTGGGAACGTATGGGCCTTGATAGTAGGGCCGAAAGGAACCCCTTCGAAGCGACTGGGGCATTCTGTTTTCAGATCTCCGAAAAAGAGGGGGAAGCACTTTTTTCTTGTTTCTATTCTCTATAAGGAGGGGCTCCAAGACACTGCCAAGTAATTTATCCCCCGATATTGGGGCTGATGCCAACTTGCATTTATGCTTGGTATCCGCCTGCCAATGCCTGAGCCATAGCAGTCTCTGTGCTGATACGTGAGATGCTATGGCCCTAGACGAGAATTTGACTGCATTAAATGTGGCGTCGGCGGAGAATTCTGCTGTTGCAATAATTTTAGCTATGTCCTGGTGGGCTCTGACATTTGACGCCGGTAATATATCCCTCAAATGGAAGAGCCATCGGAGGGAGGACCGTGTAAAAAAGGACACGGCTGTAGCAGCCCTAATGGCCCAGGCATCAGAAACGTGTGCCCTACGGAGTGCCAACTCTGCTCTTTTCTTCCGGTCTTAGGGCTTCCTCGGCCTCATTGGGAAAGGTTGAAGAAGAGGCCAGTGCCACAATGGGCTCATCCACCTCCGGCGTTTTGAGAAAATTTGAAAACTCTGGTGCCAAATTATAATATTGTTTATCGTACCCTGTTGGGGCTGGGTATGATGCTGCTGATGCCCATTGATTTTGTACTAATTCAGCAAACATACTGGGGACAGGAATAGTTTCCGCCTCATTAACCGGTTGTGAGAATATTAGATCCTTAGAGTCGTCCAGAGACCCTGTTGACAATGGATGAGGGTTTGATGTGCCTAGTTTAGCAGTGTTCTTTGCCTTGAACAATAAGGATTTACAGAGGTGTGGGCGAAAAAGGCCAGAAAAAGGTTGGTCCGGAATGAGGCCTTCGTCGTCCGACATTCCCTGTTCTAGCGGGTCAGCCTCTGACAACCCCAAGTCCATCTGATGGATTGACACCCCACCTCCATGGGAACATCCTGATCCTTAAAGTCCACCTCCTCCCGAAGACCCTGGGCTCGTATGTTGGGAATATTGGGGAATACCTGAGATTGATGTTGTCCGATATGCGCAAAGGATCAGGCGGACAGGGATCCTGCATCCGAAGTGGCCGAGAAGTGTCTGGTCCTGATGGATTGCTGAACTCCAGTCGCAATGCCCCTTTGAATCGCCATCTCCATCCATTGCCTCATTTCGATGGGGATAGTCTCAGGTAATCCCTCCTCCTGTCTTAGGCCGGCGACCGTAGGGATGAAGGTTGCCTCTGGGATTGGCTGGGCAGTGCTCATTGGAGGAGATGTGCCTATGGGAGGTTGTCCAGAAACAGCCTGCCTGGGCTGGGTAGATAAGTCCAAGGGCCCCATCAATGGGTTTGGGTTCTGATCAGATAGTTGTGTCATAGCCATCTTGTCTGCCTCCCTGGCTCGTTTCTGCAATTGCCTTTCCAAAGCTAGGTGCCGTCTATGGGCATCCTTATCTGCCGCCTTAGAGGCCTTTCTGAGGCCCACTGGCTTATCTCGGGACTTATTTGACTTGGAGCGGAAAGCGTTGTCACCTTCCATTGTGGATGACTGACTGTCTTGCTTCTGACTTTAATTTTAAATTTTCTTTTTTTTAAATTTAAATTATGGTGATGATTATTATTGTTGTTAATATTTGTACTTTGGGGTGATGCCTTCCCCTGACCTATGCCTATATTTATATGTATAACTGTGTATATGGTAACAGTATCTAAGGGTCCCCAACAAGGGAAACCCCCAAGTGCTCCAAGCGAGAAAAAACTCTGGATCCCTGGTCCCCAACAAGGGAAACCAGCTATACAGGCTCTGAGGTGAATCCTTTCCTGTCAAAACCAAACGTCCCGCAATTTAAATGGCACTTGCAGTTTCAGTCCGAAGAAATGATCCAAAGGCAATTGCAAAGAAATGTCTGTTTAATGACTAGCCTGCTTTTCCAACGTTAGTCAGACAAGGGAGAGCTAATCCCAGGGAGAACAAAGTGGAAAGGTACTGCTTCTGTCCCCAGAAAGGGAAACCAGCGAGGAATGGCGCCTGTGACAATTAGGCACGAAGTTGAGCCAGTCGTTGAAAAAGGCGGGAAGCAGAATCAGTTGCTAACGTCTGAGCCGTCTAATGAGCCGCTGCTGCTGAGGCTCTAACTTGCGATTTAAATGCTGCTGTCAGGCGAAACGGCAAGGGAAAGTGAGCCGTGGCTGCGAGCGCTCCGCTCCGATCGCAGAGAAAGCGACCGGAAAGTTATATAAGATAATTGCCTGAGGCAGTAGCCTCAAGCTGCCTGCGGAGTGGTAGGCTCCGTTATTTACAAAGAAACTGTTTTTTGTTTGTTTTTGAACTTATCGAGGTAACCTAATAGAGGGAACAGCCTGAAAAAGCCAAATTAAATGGGGAAGAGTTTTAAAAACTGAAATAACCCAAGAGCAAACCTGAATCAGAAAACCGTTCCAGTCAGGGAGTGCACAACCTCTTACGAAGGCTGAGCTAAAACTGGGGGACGCTGAGGAGGTGTCCCATGGAGGAGGAAGAGCGTCCCGGGTTTTAAGACCAGCCTTTCCAGAAGAGACTGAAGCACCTCCCACTTCTGGATGCTCTGAACTGCTCATGGGAGAAAATTCTCTTCACTTTATATGTTCTCATTGTTGTCTATGTCTTTTAAACTTTTTCATATCTTTTCATGGTACCTAGAGTTGCTTTGGTGATTGCAGTAGCTAACAAATTAATACAATAAAATAAACCCAAAATAGTGCTTAAAAGTCTGAAAATGTTAATGTATTTCAAATTCTAATAGTTTAAATCTAGATCAGATCCAGATTCTCTGCATGGAAGGACTCCTAGCTAATAAATGGAGATGCTCCCTACTGAACAGGAACATGGCAATATTCACCACTATCAATATATTCATAATGATTATAGTGTGTGTGTGTGTGTGTGTGTGTGTGTGTGTGTGTGTATGTTTGTATCATTCATAATATCACCCTATTTACAAAGCAGTATGGGTTGTTTTGTCTCTCAGTTGCATAGCATGATTCCAGCAGCTGTCGCCAATGTTTCCAGTGGCCAAATTTTATTCTAGCATTGTTGCCGCTTCTGGAATCACACTATGTGGCTGCAGGACAAACCACTCCATTTTGCTGACTTAATGTGGTTTGCACAGTGTTCTGCAGCACTTTGCAGCCTTGTTAAGGTAGCAAAATGGGGTAGTTTGTCTTGTGATCACCATTTTATTCCCACCCACAAGCGGATGGGGGAAATTGGGTGGTCATTTCCAGGTCGCCACTATGTGGCCTAGGGACGCGTCACCTGCCCTTCTTCTGCAACGTTAGATCTGGAGATCTTCACAGTGTGAGCAATGGGTAATGGGTGATGGGTGTGGGGATCAGGGCCAAGAGCTGTGAGATTCTGGGGTGGATAGGGAAACTCGGAATGGAGGGAGAGAGGCAGTGTGAGAAAAAGGCAGGTGGGCACTGCAACATCCCTGCAGTTGGTTGTAAGAGCAAATAACTATAGGGGTACTGCAGCAACCATAACTTTGAAACAGGCTACTATGTAGTCTGGGGGAGGTGCATCTGTCATAACTTCAAACTGCCATTAAGTGATCAGTCCTATCTCAAGGACTACCTGCATTCACCATCTGTTCTGTACATTTCTTCAGAATATTCTTCAGGAGCCCAGGATTCCAATTCACATCACCTCAAAGTGCACAACAACTGGGCAATATTCTCTGTGATGATTATAAGAAAAGTTTGGTAGCTACCTTATTAAACTTTAGCTTAAGTACTGGCATGATTACATTTAACTTACACAAAATAATCTATACAAATTATTGCCAAACAATGCTGCCAATAAACTGCAGGAAACCTGTTCAGGCATTTACCAGAAGTCAAGACTAACTTGAAACCCACCCACCCCCCACAAAAAAGCCCTGCAGAAACCTATTTATTTAAAATCATTCACATCCTGAGTTGCATGCTCATTGCTGAGTCACGTACTAAGTAGGAAGTTACATTAATTAATTAATTAAATTGCAAAACTGGTAGCATTTAGATAGCAAAAATTCCAAAAGCCATATCATTTAGCCTCACTTACAGTAAGGTCTCCAAGAGCTTCATAGAAACACTTCTCACATCAATAAAAGAAGTAACAACCATTGGCATAACTCATTACCTCTTTAATTTTATCTCTTTTTTCTCGTATATCTGGATCCACTGGATCTGCACTGTTTATTCCTACAAGATTTGGCACAGGGACTGGTGGCAGAGGATTGCTACTTTTGCTTTTCAAACTTTTTAGAATGTTGTTTTTCTCTGTCTGAATTTCTGCTTGGATCTCATCTCTTGACTTCTTCAGTTTTTCTTTTGCTTCCTCTAGTGCTTTTTCATGATCTGCGCGAATTTTATTTCTCAAACGTTCTTCTTCTTCCCTAAATATAAAAACAATAATAAGACTAATTTTTAAAGGTAATTCAAATTTTGTTTTTGAAAAATGTTGTGAACAAAACACACTACTAAATTCTGGATTTAGTCTGTTATTATCCAAGAATCTATTTTAGGATACTTAAATCTATTATGAATCAATATTAAGTATCCTAAGCATGAAGATAACCTGCTAGGTAACTATTAATCTACTGGTATTGGAGGATTTAACGAAATTACATCAAATAAATTATAACAAAAAGTTGTAAAAATATTGAATATTTAAAACCTTTTTTACATAGTCAAGAATTTCATTTCATTTTAATAATTAGCAGTAGATTGTGCAACTACCCTATATGCTTGCAAACATCACATTAGATAAAAACACTTGAAGGAACGTCTAGTCTTATGTTTGGTGCCTGTGATTTGACGCACACGTGAAGGCAAAGTAAACAAATATGAGTTTGGTGTAAGATCTGGTTCCCATGTTAGCATCATTGTTCTGTTATTTCTGCTCTTTGTCAGAAATCAGTTTTAAAAAAAAGTCTGGATAGTGGATGTGGCAATCCCTGGAGACAGAAGAGAAGAGAAAGAACTGGAGAAGGAAACAAAATACAAAGACCTACAAATAGAAAAACTGTGGCAAAGGCAAGCAAGGGTAGTACCAATAGTAATAGGCACCTTGGGTGCAATCCCCAAACAAGTGGAGCACCATTTGAACACCATTGGCATTGACAAATTCAAAAGGAAGCTTTAATGGGAACAGCTTCCATCCTGCAACGATATCTGTAACACCATCAAACATTCAGATCTGCCTATCCCAGGGCTCAATAGGAAGAGAAAAATGCCAAACCCAGTCTGAACATCTGGCTGACTGTGTGATGATCAGTAGTAGTAGTAGCAGTAGTAGTACCAATAAAAGGGGAAGTAAAAAAAGATAATGAGATGCATAAATATTACTACAGCCGACTATGTGGGTTAATATAAATAGACATTATGTAGCACCGAGAGAAGTAGGTGTTCAATAGAGTGATGGCATGAGAAAAAAATCAGTCCCTGTGTTTAGTTGTTTCAGCATAGAATGCTCTGTAGCAGTTCCGAGAAAAGGAGTTGAAAGAGTTGATGCCCAGGTTGTGAGAGGTCTACAGATACTCAACCCTCCTTCTGACTTGCACAATATATAAGTCTTCTATAGAAGGCAGATGGTTTCATTTTTTTTCTGCAGCTTTAATTATCCATTGGAGTCTCTACCTGCCCTGTACCAGACAGTAATTATGTTCATGATGGCTTGAAGTCCATGATGTGGACTAGAACTAAATTTCCTGTATGGAAACATTAAAGGGAATGAATCCAATGTTACTGTGTACTGAATAGTTGTAGACAACCTCAGGTCCGGCCAGTTGTCTTGTTGATAATTAATGTAACACCTAAACACTGCTCCAGGATCCCATTCATACATTCACAACCTCCATTCATTTCAGGATAATGTGAGGAGCTATGCTCTGGAGCAGCAGTTGCCACTGGTGGGCCGCGAGAAAATTTTGGTGGGCTGCAGAGAAATCTCACCCCCCCCCCCAAAGCAATTAATCCAGGCTGCACAGAAACACAAGGCTGTGCCGCCCACATGGCCCGCGGGAACCCTCCCCGCCCACTTACTCCTTACTTGGTAAACTTGCCTGCTAAATTGCTATTTTTCCTTTTTCTGACCATCAGCTGTTCTGCTGTGCCAGGAGATTTAGATTAGCTAGAAAGCAGGAAGTGGTTGGATTTCGTGCTTTCTAGCTAGTCTTTAGATCTTCAGCTATGCTTTTAAACAGAGCAAACCTCCCTTAGAACTGAAGCTTCTATTATTCAGTGCAGTCTCACTGCAAGCAAATTTTATGTGACAGATAGCCGATGGCAGATAGATCACTGAATGATTCTGTGAGCAACTCAATCTGCCTGCCTGCTTTGCCTGATTTTGGGTAAAAGTTGCTCTTTTTTAATTAAAAAAAAATCAATATTTACATACATGGTGTCTTGTGACTTAATTTTGTGAGTTTGCAAGCAAATTTTATGTGACAGACTGAGCTAGCCAATGGCAGATAGATCACTGAATGAATCTGTGATACTGTGAGCAACTCAATCTGCCTGCCTGCTTTTGGGTAAAAGTTGCTCTTTTTTAAATAAAAAATTCAATATTTACATGCATGGTGTGTTATGAGTTAATTTTATGAGTTTGCTTGTGGCCGTGGGTACAGCTGCACCATTCCCCGCTGGGGCTGTGCCATTTGGGCAGCCAGCTGTGCTCCTCAAGTCAGGGCTTTCCACCTTTTGAGGTTGCTAAAGCTTCCCTCAGGAACCCTATGGCTTGTTCCAGCATGCACCCCTCTTGGTCCAGTTCCTCTATGGCCATTTTTTCCTCAAACTCCAATCGCGGCTCCCTCCAGCAATAGCCGCTGTTCCCGCAGTTGAAAATCACTCCCTATTCCCATTGTTCTTTTTTCTCACCCTAAGAGACCAGGGCCTCGGCTGTTGTTACAGGCTTCTGCCTCTCCCAGCCATTCAGAGGGATGATACCTTCTCCCCAGGCTTCTCCCTCCTCCTGGTTGCTACCTTGAGCTGACATTGTGTTCATCGTCCCCACAGTAGAGATGACCATGACTGCGGCTCTAGCCTAATGACAAACCTCCCCTAGTCCGGTCCTTTAAGAAAGAAGACCCTCAACTTCATTTGGGTGAAGTAATAGGTTCTTTTACTAAAGGATGCTGGCTGTAGTAAAGTTAGGTTAGAACTAAATTTCTTGCATGGAAATGTTACAAAGGTTTTCTCTCATCCCACCCCTCCCATGACCAGTTCATTTGCAACCAACTAGGTGTTTTGATAAATGCCGAGATGTTTGGGATAGTCCTTATTCCAATCGTAGGATACATGTCCCTGAGCGCTGGCACAAACTGTTACTATGCTTTCCTGGTTTTCATCAGTTGTCATTCCCCATCCCATTTTCCCATCACATCCCCATACCTATTGCCCATTTGTTCTTCCCGTGCCCCCTCCCCACTAGCCTTTGATGGCAGGATTCCAGCAAGGCGCCAAGCCAAAGATGTAATGATTTCTCCTTCAAAGTGGCTGAGAGATATGATGACTACACAAAATAGAAATATTTCAAATGTATTGACATTAAGTCTCACTCTAAACATTTGAGAAACATAATTTTGGTTTTTTTGGTGAAGGTAACATTTTTAATATCAGAACTTATATTTAAATTTTAACATTATTAAGAAATAGTTGTAAACAAAATTAAAATGGCTTATTAATCAGAAAGCAGATTTTTTATAAAGATTATTTTTTAATATTTGATCAGCTTTAGTTTTTTATCTTGAAATAATATTAAACTTACCTTTTACAACATTTTCACTAATACAAAGCAATGGCTTTTGTCAACATTTTCTGAAATAATTCAATCATATATACATATCCAGTGTTGCAGCTATATTTTAGTGTCCCTTATTATAAGATGGAAATTTTTTCATTGTAAAATCCCTGTTTATTTATGTATTCAGTGTATCATTGCAATCTACACTGACCTCTGGCAGTTAATTTCAATCAAAGTATTATATAAAACCCATACAATAATATAATGTCAGACAGGGCCCATTCTTTGTCCTACAAATGCTGTTCGAAGATGTTTAATTTTCACCTTACTTTTACTAATTTGATTTCAGTGAAATGATTTCTAAATAAAATAGAAACGAGCTGAAAACTATAAACACTCTGTTTTTTTTAATTGTCTCAGAAGTGCAAGACCAGCAACATATTTTATTGGGGAGCATGTACTAGATAGGTTAATTCTATATAAAGACAGAAAAATACCTATGAGCCGAGCTTATACATTAAAGCCAGCACTTTGAGCTACTCTTGAAACGTACTGATAAACAACAAAGCATGTGCAACACAGGGCTCATATTTCTACATCAACTTTCATTTACAAGTTGTAATATTTTGTACCAAGGATTCCAGACCCCTATATTAGATTGAGAAATCAAAACTATCTTGGAAAAGGTAATAGCAAACCATATTTATACTGTTGCCAAGAAAACTGCATTTATGTATCCTTGTAGTCATTAGGAGTTCAGCTCAACTTGAATAAGCTTTTCATCTTTTATATTTTTAGTGGAAAATTTCCATTTCTAAAAAGACACTGTTTCATAAAGATTAGCTAGCTCTAATGAATAGATTAAATCAAAAGGAAATACATTGTTCCTACATTTTTACTTTTTGAAATATTTGCAAATATTCCATAAAGTAATTTCTAAATATACCTTTGAACCTACTTAAATATAGATTTAAATAAATTACATCTATTCTAATTTTGTTTACCATCAAATATGATAAACAAGCTTTTAGTACAAGAAAATCTAAATGCCCTGAGAATTTTGTTATTACTTTGTTATTGTTATTATTTTGTTATTATTTAGGGCAGCACATGTACTAAAAGTGGAATGATATTTTATTGAATAGCAGAGAGGCTCCACTTCTGCTCATTTAAAATTTGAAGCATTTCTGAAGTATATTTTAAGTGAACACAGCTCTACTATACTTTAGTAATTGATAGTATCAAAGATACTTTATAAAAATAGCCTTGAACTAGAATCTAGAAATAAAAGAAAACACATCCTTCCTCAGACTACAGTATTTCTCCATAGACTACTTAGTTGTCCTTAGATATCTGGTTTGTACTAAAATTGCTTTTGATGGTACACTAACTGCTAAGAACACAGGTATCTTGCTTTTTTCATCTTATGGAGTGCCCCAAGCCGCCCGGATTCGGGGCTGAAGCCACCCCGTAGAGGTGGTGAAGAAGAGACCCAGAGAGAGAGAGAGAGAGAGAGAGAGAGAGAGAGAGAGAGAGAGAGAGAGGGAAAGAGATAAGGAGGGAATGAGAGAGGAAGGGAGAGAGACAAGAAAGAAAAGAAAGAGAAAAAAAGAAAGAAAAAAGAGAAAGGAAGCGAAGGAAGAAAAGGGAGAG